ATGTTATGAGAACTGCTGCTTGGGCCCTGGTTACAAGTTGTAATGTAAATATTAATGTGTATGGAAAAGGAACATTATTTAAGGCTTACCATATGTTCTAATAATTTGAGCCTCTGATTGTGGAGACGGGATGTCTTTTTAAGGACGGGTGCCGCCATGGTTCTCATCTGGTGTTCCTCTGACTGAGCACAAGTGTGCAGAAAGGTTTCATTCAAGCTAAATACAAATCTGTTTTCGGAAAGATGGATGTACTTTCTTTTAAACTCTTTCAACTGATCTTTTAGTACTTATGTTGTCAAATGGAAACAATAATACAAAAACCATTGTTCCTCATGCTGATTACAGACAGGACTGTACTACATTAGGAATGAGTGGCAGTCAGGTGAGTGAAATTATCTCACTAAAATAAAAGACAGGAAGATTGAGAACAGCTGTCTTATTGGAATTATCCAACCTTGTCTCCAATAATAGCATTCATATACAACTTTGCTTTAGCATATACGCATTGTGGGACCCTTAATGCAGCCAGATTGCATTACATTTTTAGAGTATAACAAGGAAATGTGCACTGTCTGCAGAATGCTTGTGGTCAGTGTATTTCCTTTGTAATGATTTTATGGTTAAGGAAAAGGTCATTGTCTTAAATGTTAAAAAACTTACTTTGAAGCAAGAGATTTTGACTTTTTTAATTTTAACAAAAGCCACAATCTTTCCCTAGCCATAACCAAATATTTTAGGAACCCAAAAACATGTGGGACACAGGACGCCAGCCTCTGGTATGAAAGTTGTTTGCTCTGTACACCCAGCCCTAACACTTCCTCCTACAACTTCAATGCAGTATAAGAATGTCACACTTCCTGGATCTAGACAGCAATTGTGTTTCCTCCAATTTTAGCATGAATAACCAAATATGCCACATGGACACTGTTATAGACTTATAAAAGCTGTCACACAAAACTGTAAGTGTCTAAAACCATGACATGAGCTAATCTGTGACCCTCTAACTCAGGGATCCCATGTATGAATGTTGCTGCATGTAGGGAGTTAGCTGTGAATGAGAGCTTTCAGGTCTTTCCCTGGTCTTTATCTCTACCATCTCCCCTCTCTCTGTGCCGCTGGAAAGACATACAGTCAACACATTGTGCATTGATTTACATATTTTTGGCCCATTTCATAGATTTAAAATGTATGAAATTGGCCTAAATAAATAATCTGTGGAAATATGTGTCAGATGTCACAGATGTCACTCCAGAAGTGTGCTTCTTAAACTGTGGGCTTGGCTCTAACATAGGCGGCTTGTTTCTAGTAAGAGCCTAAATCAATTTGACTACTACTATTTTTTGTATTGGGAACCTAAAGCAACACTGAAGTGACACATCTTGGGCCTTAAGGTGTAAAACAGTCATAATCTCAATATGCAATTTGAATTAATTTATTGAAGTGACATTGGAAAGTAAAATTATACTCACTAAGAACATCAATTCATCAAAGAACAAACATGTAAGAGCTTTTTAAAGCTGGGGTACAAAGAAATGTTTTCATTTTGATTTGCCATGAGACAACCAATAGCCAGAAAAACTGACTGTGATTCTGTGAGTCAACATGTTTAACAAAGCCACGCAAAGAAACCATCTGTGAAACCAGCGTGGCATGACCAAACGTAATACAGCGCAGAACAATGCTATAATGTTTATGTTTCAGCTCCACGGCATCAGCATTTTTACAATTATCATGTGTTTTTTGTTTTAAAGCAAATATTGATGTATTAAAGGAGAAAAGTAAATATGGAAGTAGTTTTGCTGCGTGCAGTGAGTCACTGTGTGAGTCCCAAACCTCTAAAATGTCCTCTCTGACCCAGACATCGACGCTCGCCCTGTCGGAGTAGAAATTTTAGAAGTTTTTCTTTGGCAAAGGATGCACAGGTGTTTTCTCAAGTTTTTTTTTTATGTTTTCTAACCCCGTTTAGAATTTGACAGCACCAATAACTTAGAAATGCAATGGAAACCATCAATTCTTTCCAGTGTTAAGACACAACGAGACATATAGGATGTTTAAATTAAAATATCCAATGAAACCAAAATTTCTATTTAGATTGTTAGTGACTTCTTTAGAAAAAAACATATTTAACCTCCATGGGTGGAGGAAGAATTTCTTTCTTTCTTTTTAATAGAAACCACAGAATAGCTTATTGCTTGGTGTCAATTATTAGCAGTATGAGAGAGAAACAAAGAGAGGCAGTTGTACTGTACAGCAGTTGTCAAAAATCACCTGGCATATTTAGGCCTCAACGTTCAGGTCAGTTGCCAAAAGCTACATCATACATGAGGAAAATGCAGACCTTCTGAAACATAATTTTCTGTTCGTACTTTCTGCCTCTTTCCTGGGCATCAATCATTTTTAATCAAAGGTGTCTGAATTTCATTTTTGTTTGTAATTCCATGACTTTGACACATAGGCTGGCTGTAGGTTTGACCTTTTCGTATTTATTTATTTTTTAAAGTATGAAATATGTTCTTGTTAAGGTTGACTGTTGTTCATAAAAAAATTTACTCATGAAATGCTTTCAGCATGGAATTTTCTTTAATTCATCCATCGTCTTTTTTTGTGTGAAGTTACGATAAAGGATTTTCAAGAATAGTCCCTCTCAAAAATGTGTGAAAGTGTAAAAATACAGTTGGTCCATACTGTGGGACTAGTGTTGTATAGGTTTTAGCTATGATTTTCTATGATATTGCTTAAGGACACTCCAAAATAGAAAACATATTTGGAGAAAATCCACTATAAAGAATAATTTGTGTGTTTATATAATATTACAGAAAAAGCTTCTTCTCAGAAACCCAATAATGTCACTTTTTTGTGAGGTTTTTTTGTGTTGTGCCACAGGGCTTTCAAATGTCTTCTTTAGTCTCAAGCATATAATAACACTGTTTTTTTCTTTCAACTCTTCAAACACACATTCTGTCCCCCAAAATACATTGAAGCCTTTGGGGACATGTCAGAATTGATGGTTTACCTCCTATTAGAATTTGCGTATTTGAATGCGTGTGTGTGTGTCCCTTTGAAGTTTTTGGAGTCCGCCCACCCTTCTGTGGCCCTGCATTGTGCTGAACAGCTCCATTTGTCCCACCTTAATCCCCTGACGTAAATTCACATAAATCACACTGAGTTGTTTCTAAACGTGGGCAGGCTGGAAAACTCGGTCTCTGTCTCTCTGTCTCGCTCTGGTTTCTAGCTCCCATGGAGAGTTTAGGAGCTGCTGGGTATTCATTTAACTGACCACCTGTATTGATAATGACTTCAGCTCAAAGTATAAATAAATGCATGGCAACTGCTGGTTATTCTCACACAGGAGCTCTACACTGATTATTAAGTAAATGCACCCTCACTCCGAAACAGGGTAAACCATACGTTTTTAAAACACAGCAGAAACAGACCAAATAAAAAGTAGAAGCATGTACAAAGCTTTTTTTTTTTTTTTTAAAGGATCATCACTTTTGATTGTTCCTCTTGGAGTGACTAAGCAGGCGAAAATCACTTGCATTTACCAAGGAGACTTTTTTTTTTATCAAAAAAGGTTATTGAATTCTGTGTCACTATAGACCAAACGATCAAACGTTGACATAGCATCCCCCTAGTCCTTTTACATGGCCATTAAATACAGGGACATTGTTTTAGCCAACACTTATTAGTTCTAGAGATGGGGCAACATCATAGCACCCATAGTCCATCTAGGCCAAACTCTCTCTATTGATGGCTCTGGGCCAGATTAAAGTGCCGGGGCTCATTGTTTACACAGCTCTGTGGTGCCACGGCTGAGCAGGCCCAAACAATGGGTCCCTGCTCTCCCTTGTCAGAGTGAGGGGAAGAATGGAGACCTCTTGACATGGCAACCTGAAGCCTCAATGCCCCCACTCCAGTGTAGCTGAAAGGGTCAGAGTGAGCAGGAGAGGAAGAGGGAGAAGAGGGGAAGTTAGAGATAAGGAAGAAGCGGAATGGAGAAATGAAAATGGAAGGGGAAGAAAGGCGGCAGATGTGAGGAGGGATGAAGAATGATCGAGGATAGAGGAAGAGAGATAAAGAGGTGAGGAGAAATTAAACAAAGGATAGTTCATGAAAAAGAGAGGAGAATAGGAAAGAAACAAAGAGAGGCAATAACAGATGAGAGGGGGAAAAAGAAGAAGTAGGTGTAAAAAAAGGAGATCGGATGCAGAGAAAAATCGTTAACAAGGCAGAAGACGTATGAAAGGATGTGAGGAGAAGAGTATCTGATGGCACGAATGGAAGCATAACACTGTCCTTAAATACACAACCTCCAATCCATTATCTGACACTGTTGAGTGATTTTTGATTTTGGCCCCACTGATAATAAAGACGTCTTTTAGCAAAGGTGTCTCAAATGCATTTGGACATTTTGGGAAACAACTTTATTTATTCTACTACTTAGCATAACTTAACATAATGACTGAAATGGTGGAAATAACTAGCCTAGCTCTGTCTAAAGTCCAAATTGTATCTTCTTTGTTTAATCTATGCAAACAAACAGAAATGTAAAACTATAACTATTCCTGGACAGTTAGCCTGGTTTATGCAGCAGTTAGCCTACCTTAGCCCGGCTGAGAGCTGTCCATTATCAGGTTTTCCTCCAAGAAAAGTATTTTAACTTAAATTTGAACTTACTTATATTAACTTAAACTGGACTTCAACATCACTATCTAACATAACACAAAAACAAGATGAACACTGGGAAATTATGCCCCCTGCCTGAGTTCAGTGTGTGTGCTAGTATGTGTGTCATTGTTACAGCACAGCACTCTGTTCTGTTGTCTCCATGACCTTTAGTTCTGTATTAAAGTCATGCATAGGACTTGATTATACTTTTCCCATGATCTTCTGAAAAAGTCAGAAGGATAGTAAATGTCGGTTTTCACTAAGCCTGCAATAACTCAGCATTCAGAAGTGGAAGTCATTACTTTTCTTTTCTTCTTTTTTTTTGGTCGCAGGTCACTTTCTTGGCAACAATACAGTCATTGATGTGCTTCGTCGCCAGGGATACGAGGTGGAGCACACCCCTGCTGGGCAGCCCATAAACAGGTATATTTACTGCAAAAGCACCCTTAAACACACACACATACATCATCTAGGGGCACGTCTAACTAGACTGGATTTGTGATTTATCATAGCAATACACTGTGCAAATTGAACCAATCCCCTATAATTATATGAGCTTCTAATTTTAAAAAATGACTACAATTTTTCTTGTTTTTAAAAAAGATAATTTTACTTTTATGCAACACCAGACTTTCTTTTTGGTCATGAGTTGAATTTTTACAAAATCCTAAAAATACTTAAAAGTGCAGAGTAATGTTTGCTTAATTTGCCACAAAAGAAAAAAAAGGGTTTAGTTGCACCAATGACAGGAAATGGTGAATTGCCGGTATAACTGATGAGGTATGAGACCAATAATGATTTTTCTTAAAAATGTTTTATAACGTAAGCATTGTTGAGTTAGGTTAGGTAATTCAGGGAGGCAAAGATAAAGGGTTTATCAGGACCTTTTCTGTTCAAAGAAGTTTTGTATACTGATGTTTTCAGAGTCTGGTTTGAGGCGATTTCATTTTTAGATAGCCTAATAATTTTCCATAAAAAGCATGAGAAATGTCTGAAAGACATGAGAAGAGACTGACAAAGAAAATAGCAGAGAAAGTGAGAAATGACAGATTTCAGAAAATGACAGAAATGGGCAGAAAATATTATGTTTCGCTATAGTTGTTGCACATTATGATTTCTTCCGAAAACACAAGTCTGTAAAACTCAAAGGCCCATATTTTATCACTTAAATAGGTGTAAGGTTTCATGTCCCGGCCACATTATACAGGGCAACCGCTGCCTTATGGCCCTGACAGGAATATATATTTCTCTCAACTTTTTCACAGACTGGATTTCGAATGGGAAATCATTTTCCAAGTAAGCAGTACTCCATAGTTGGTCTGTGTTCATTTGCAGACCCAAAACAGATGTTCAGGTTCTGCTTCAGCCCTTGTGAAAAATGTGTTGTCTGCAAATAATCAAAAACTGCACTCGCTAGTTATCCGTTGAGTGATTCTCCCTTTGTTGAGTACTCTCGAAATGTCCCTAAACATGAGTATTTGTTTTATCACCTCATTTCGAAGTTTGTCATAGTTTTATTAATTTACTTGCACTATTGGCAGTTGAGAGTTAGCTTTTTGTTTATTTGCTGGTAATGAACCACCACTTTACTAATCAAATAAGAGGCTCATTTTGGTAGTGATCACAGAAAAGAAAATAAATAGCCAGATTCAGAGCGCTGTTGTTATTACAGCAGATAAAAGGACATTCATTGGCTTTAAACATTCTAAAATGTTGTAATAAATACCCATAAACAATTTTCAAATTAGATTTAGGAGTATAATTTATGGCTATGAACTTGCAGAGCTGGAACATTTATCATGAACCAAGCTTTAGCCTTTTGTTAAAGGAAGTCTGATAGACTTGAGCTGCAGTCCTGTATGTGTAACTGAGTATGTGGAGTCAAGGAGTGCAGTGTGGTGGTGGGATTGCTGTAGGGATCTCATATTTGAATCTTTCAGTTTCAGAAAAAAAAAAGCTCAGTGATGTCTCTTATTCATTGGGGCCTTTTATTTTTTTTCCACTATATAGATCGCTCTGTAGATAAATCTGACAAAATCCCCACCAGCCACCAATGAAGTGTTGTTGAAAAGGCCAACCTAAGCAGAGTTCATACCTCCTGCTGTGATGCATGTAGTGCAGTCTACCATGGCACACTGTGCGGGTGGCTATCTCAGTGCAGATCTGTGTTTTCTCTGTGTGTACGTGAATGAATTGGTGAATCTACTTTCACACACACAAACTGTGTGTTTGATGCAAGACCATGAGCCTGTGATGAACCTGAAAATGTGTGTGTATATGTGTCCACATGCATGGTATTTGTTAAAGATAGTTGCTGTCCTCATTAAAGATGGCCAGCAGCTCATCAGAAGCAAGAATGTTTTTAATCAAAAAGATGAGTTTTGGTTTTACGCTCATTCTTCCCATTCCGGTACTTTAATTTGTTTTTCCAGAAAATCTTGGATATGTTCTCTATTAGACTACACATTGGAACTTGGAAGGTCCATGGCATCCTGTTCTTACATAGCAGGAATTCCTTCTCTCCTCCTTTTCCTTTCCTTTCTTTTCCTTTAATTTTATTCGGTCGTGGTTTCACCGGTCATTTACGGGCTGGATGGGACAGCTGATGGCATTAAAAGAATATACTAATACTACTATACTTATAAAATCTATAATGTAATACTCACTGACTTTAGACTTTTAAGATAAAGTAGCTCTGGAAGCTCCATTTTGGAGGAACAACAGCTGTACTTAGGCTGGACACACAACAGTTATAATGGCTTCCAAAGGAGAGTCAGTCGCTGCTAAAAAAAAAAAGAAAGAAAGAAAGAAAGAAAGAAAAATGTGCAAAAACGTATCACAGTGTTGATCGAAACCACTCCTGCAGCATAATCCATTTCTGGCCTTAAATACATTCGTTCAGGATCTAGTACTTGCAGGCAGTTGATATCTAAAAGATAGACTTTTGGTGGAGGATTCCTTTCTTACTGTCTCCCTACAGTCCTGAAATCTTCATCTCTCTCTCGTACCAAACTCAATTATGTATTGGCATAGATTTGGTGAACTTTCTCTGACCATACACCCCACTGACAGGAACTTTTAACAAAAACAGAGAGGAAAAGAAGAATGGCTTTGTCTGTCTGGTGATTTGCATGCAGACAACAAAAAATCTTAAATCTACAGCTGAACTCACCAGGCTGCTGCAGGTCCTGGGTCTATAGCAGACACAATAAAAACAATAAAGAACTTTTAGCTTTTACCAAGAATTATTGATCATATTGTGTGGGAAAGATTGGTTCAAAGCTTTTAAAAGTATCTTATCTTCCTGTGATGTGCATCCACTAGGAGATCATCATTCAGACCTGACTCGCCGGAGTCAGAAGAGCACCAAGATGAGTCCCCTCTCCTGGAGCCTTTCTTCCACGAGCTCCCCCACAAAGAGGAGGATCAGGGGCGTCCCCTGGAGGATGATCTGTTACCCCACATGCTTCTTCCAGCTGATAGCCTGGAGCTGCTGGAGAAAGCGGAGAGGAAGATGCTGAAGAAAAAGAGGAGGAACAAGCAGAAGAAGCAGCGGCACCGGCATTTTAACGACCTCTGGGTTCGCATCGAGGAGAGGTAAGAGGACAGGGAGGATCAGTAACTTGTCGGTCTCTTTTGCTGTAAAATGGAATAAGGAGAATCAAAGAAAGGGTGAAACGAAAGGTCACAAGGGAGAGAAAAAAGAGTATAACAGTAAAAGCTTAGAGAAGAAAGAGAGAGAGGATGTGAGAGGGCTTTCCACTTGTATATAGAATAAAACTGACACTTCCTGGTGTGGTGCTGCAGGCTCAATCAGTCATCATATCACATCACCATACTCTTCATGCAGTCGGCACACACTTCTGTGCAATATACACACACACACACACACCCTGCAGTGTGGTATGAGTCCAGACTAGTTCCTAGCTGGTATAAGTGTCATGGAAGTGAAAATAGCAGCCTGGGAATTCCTACCAAGTATCCGGTTTTGGTCTCACAGTAGCTCCAGGCAGGGACTAACCGGACAACAAAACAAGTTCACCTTTCAGACAAAAAGGAGACCTCTGCACAAGGTGTGGTTTGTCGCGTTGAAACTTCTCTCAGTCTATTGTAAGGGCAAAATGTTTACGTTTTTTTGGAGGTGATTGTGCATGTGGGCAGGAAGCAAAACGCATTTCCTGCACCCACTTACCCCGATCAGAGTTGGAGGCTAGCTCAGCATGCATAGGCAAGAGGCTTCAGTCTATCACAAGGCCTTCACACATACTCAGACAACCTCATTAATTTACACCTACAGGCAGTTTAGAGTTTCCAGTTCACCTGACTTTCACATCTTTGAACTGTCAGGGGAAACCGGAGCATGTGCAGGAAACCCACGCAAACACGAGGAGAACATGCAAACGTCACACAAAAAGGCCCCAGGATCTTCTTGCTGTGAGGAGACAGCAAACCACTGTGTTAAAATAACTCAAGCTCAGTTAGGTTCATAACTTACTGTCTCATTGTGGGAAACTGAATTAACTGCATAATCATCAGCCTAAAGGGCATGGTGACCATAAGAATTACTTGGTCGCAATGTAAACATTTACCCTGCAATTTAAACATTTAATATGTTTTTGTGTAGCTATTACATTCCCCTTTTTTTCTTTTATCTGTTTCCAGAATGTGCATGTGTTTGCATGCTGGAGTCAACCCTCCCAAAGTCCTAATTAGTGTGGAACATAGAGATTGTTTGCTATGGCTTGTGTTAAGATTATACAGACGGAGACTTGGACTGTTTACACAGGAACCTAAACTCTGGTCGGTCATAGACATAAGCTACTATTTCACGTCATTTCAGTGCAATATTTGAAATATGTGGTTCACATTTTCAAGATGGACACGGCCTGAAATCACCAGCTTTGCATCCTGTGTTGACCTTTTTTTTTTCATTCTACATTGTTATTTTTCCTGACACTTCTTCCTGTCTATACATGTAACTTTAAATTCTCCTTACATTGGGGTTTCTTTTGGGTGCTACAGTTTACACCCACAGTCCAGGGTGAGGGTGATAATCTAAACTATCCATTGGTGTGCATATGTTTCTCTGTATATTTTAGTCTGATTGATAGAGTGACAACCCTTCAAGGATGTTCTCCCACCTTACATGCTGGGATAGGCTAAACAGTTTTCCTATAGGTTATGAGTGTAAGAAGATGACATAGGAACAGAGCAGTGTACTGTGCAGTGTTTAAGCTCAGCCATCTTCAGAAGCTTCATTGATTTGCAGTCCCTCCTTTGAAAGGAGTCCTGAACTGGGTGTCACATGTTAAAAAAACAGGAAAAATTAGACAAAAAGAAACTAAAGTCTGGTGTTCTAGTCTTTATATTTATATTCATTTCACATATCTACAATTATGGCAGTAATTTCTAAATTGTCATTATCAGGTGCTAAAAGCAGTTTTCGATTAGAAATAATTGCAACTAACTTGCGCTTTGTTGAACCCATGCTGGGTTCTGCTCTTAAACATGTGGTGCTTTTTACCTCCTTATGAACATGTATTTTTCCATGTACAGTATACACTGAAGGGATGAAAAATCCAACCATGTAGCGTCTGTTCTTCATGTGAACAGAGGGGGTTTGTGAACGTTTGTGTACATTATGTCTGCAGAAATGTTTTCTCTCTTTCCGAGAGACCCTGTATTTTAAACGGAAAGGAAACAGACTGTTTGTGTACACATGTTAGAAAGTGTATACGGTGCACGTCTTTGTATATTTTAACGTCTGAAAAGGTGGCCGAGTGAGAAACGGAGAGGGACTCCAAAAAACCGAAGCGACTACAGAGGCACAGCTCTCTGTTGTGTTTGATGCAGGGCCACAGAGCAGTGTGTCACCTGGTTTCCTTACACCACTCCTGGCCCACAGAGCTAAATAAACCTGCTTCATAACTTCATAAAAAATGCTGAATGTTTTCTCAGAGCATTTAAATATCAGCTTCAAACATTTACAGAAACTTTAAAGGAATAAATCTTGCTAAAATGGCACCAGTTAAATGATCTAAAAAAAAGCATTCATATTAATGCATTCAATAACTAAAGCCTAGATCTATAAGCTGTAAAGCCTTAAGCCAAGATCAATCAGTGCAAATCAAATGTTATTAATAGGTATCTGTCAGTAATGGAAACACTGTCAGTTGAGGTTAATTTAGACATTTTGAGGGAAATATCTGAACACTTGAGTTTAATCTGTTAACAAGCTTCTGTTTGATTCTGGAGGACTGTTACTGTTCTAGCATTTTGAAATAAATATATAATATCTATTTGGAAACTACTTGGTGGAGCTTGTCAGTGGATTTAATGTACTGATGCCTTTTTGTATGGTGGTTCTCGTCTCATTCATCCATCACTGGCTCTAACACAGCATATTCTGGCCCTTTTATTTAATCTTATTTTGACTGGCAATTAACTCTCCCAAGATCTTCCAAATGTGCCCCTTCTTCAGCCAAGGATATTGCAGTCTGCCATCCAAACTGAAGCTCATTTGTCCACAATAATCCCTCTAAGCACACTCTCATTTGTCTGCAGTCGGGATGAGGACTGGGACATGATTACATTTTTTTTTTTCAATTTTCTCTATGTTGAGGCTTGTCAAAGTATCTTTCCCAATAAAATATTAATCCAGTACCATTGTAATACTATCTTGCAATCATTTTTTATTTAATATTGGATGTTGTAATGCTGTGTCAAATTGCTGCTGCAGCCCACTGGTATCCGGAGATCCTGACTTCAGGAACTTGTGTGTTTGTTTTGCCTGGCCATGTCCCAGTCTAAACCGCACGAGCACTGCTGTCCCTGCATCAAACAGGACAGCAGAAATTATTTAATTGGCAGACTTGTTTAGAAAAGGGCGGATAAAGAGGGAACTAGAGACAGCCAAGGAGTGGCAGACAGAATATATAATATTGGGAGAGGAAGAAAAACAGAGTCGAAGCAGGCAGGCAGATTGGCAGCTGGTTTATAGCCATGTGCGGATCAATGAGTTGAATGCCCAGGAGTTTTGTGTTTGTAAAATCTCTGCTGATTGGTCTGCGCTGTCACAGTGGTTTTGCCATCATTAATATTTCCGTTGTTTTCCTCCTGCAGTCTGCATATTTTTTCAGTTGTGGATGATATAGGGATGTAAGGAGAGTCCTGTTCTTTAAAATACAGCACGATTTTCCTTTCAATCCCAAAATTTCTGCAGTCGGAATCACTGACAACTTATGTATGTGAAAACTTGGTTTCAAATTCTATGTGTTTTTGTATAGTTGTGTAAATAAGAACAAATTAAATTTAAAGCTATGTAAATAAGTTTTACAGTTAAAAACTCAGCTAATCTGCTTAATGAGGACTGTGTGGGTGTGATTTGATCGCATTTGATTGGCAGTGGCCTGGCAACATGAACAAACAACCCCACAACTGTTGCTAAATGTTGCTTAAACCCTAATTGCTTGAATGGAAGTATGCAACATAATTTTTTGCCCAACTGAGTCCATGTCAGCTCATGTCAGTGAGGAGAACACAGACAAAAACACAAATTCAGAAATCTCTTGTGAAATAACCAAAACATAATGAAAATTGTGTTCATAGTAACAAGCTGGTGTAAGAAATTGTTTTTTGGTGGGCTTTAAAAGACAAATATGGATAAAGAAAGATTTTTAAATCTACTCTCTTGTCTTTTCTCCACAGCACTATGGTCCAGTCTCCGCCTCCCCCGCTGGTTCGCATCATCAATGGTTACATCACAGTGCAGCCACCTGACAGAGTCCATAGCCACTACAACTTCCATCACATATCTTCAGCATCAACCACCTCTTCATCCTCTCCATCTTTACTTGTCTTCCTCTGCACGTTGCTTACAGTGCAGATGTGGACTGTGTTCCTCTCGTAGAGCAGTAGTGGGACAGTCAACCTTGTTGAGTTTGAACTCTCACATATGATGGTTTCATGTATCAGCTCATGTAAAGTGGGGTCTGATCACGCATCATAATACCTAGAGGAGGCTGCAAAAGAGTGTGGTGACTCAGAGACTGCTCACAAAAAAAAAGCACGGAGAAAGGATGTGAAATCAGCTCTAGCTGTCAGGTAACGGTACACTCCATGGATGTTAGGCTAGATAAAGTTTGATGTTGTTGGGACTGAATGGTAAATCATGTCAATAGAGCATGTCTCTTACAAATTGAGGCCTTGGTGAGCATGTAAGTTCATACAGAGTTAGGGTTCTTGGAACATTTCATAAGGTTTCCATTATTTAACAGACACAGCAAGAGTGAGTACACAGAACACAGCAGGAAAGAAAACAGGAACTGACATTACACAACATGTCAGTGCCTTTATGGATTACAGTGTTACAGTAGACACTCATCGTTCAACATTCAAACCTCTGAAAATATGAGATCTCACTGAAGTGACTGTTCATTGAATGAACCCATGAACATTGTCGAAACTATTGCTGAATGTCAAATACCTTCAATAAGTACAACTGGAACCATATGTCCTTTTGTGTGTGTGTGAGAGAGAGAGTGAGTGAGTGTGTGTGATGTTTTACATGTGTGTGTGTGAGAGAGACAAACAAAGTCTATCAGCTCTTAACCCCCCGGCCCTGCAAAAAGAGGTGTTCCTCTTCAGACTTTAATTTATTCTTCCATTTTAGAAGAATTTGTTCAATGTTGCATAAAAGCCTACTGTGCGGGAAAATTGTACATATTGTTTCAAAATATTATAGATGTATTTTAGAATTATACAAAAATGAAAATTATCAAACGTTTTGTTGTTGTTTATATAAATATATAAATAGAAATGCAGTATATTTTTGAAAAGAAAATCAGGAACTAACCACCATAGCCCGTGTCATGTGTCTCACTGAAATTACATTTTTGGAAGGGACATATGATTGTATTGTACTTGATGTATCAGTGTTATCACTTGCTTTGCTGTATGTGTCTGCTGAAAGGATTCATTTTATGTGTGTTTGTGTGTGTGTATGTCTGTTTTCACATAGAGATCATTTGTTTAATTTATTTAACTACTATAGTTTTGCTGTAGGCCATATAAAAAATCCCCAATTTTTTACATATATTTCAAATGTTTTCAAGTATGATTTCAAATGCATATGAATGGTAATAATAATTCAGTTTTCAATACATGAAGCTGTCTACACAGATAGACCACATACAGCATAGTGATTTAGGTCTTTCACATTTTACGTATGGCATGAGATGATTGTAATAGTATTACCATGAAAACAATAAAATATTTATCTAGATTGAAATATGATTTTACTGCTCATGCTTGAATGTGAAGCAAATCCGTGAGAAGTCACTGAAGACCTGTCCTTCAGATTTATTTTTTGTTTTTGTTGCATTGCTGTTAACATCACGTAATTCATAAAAATATAGAGGCTTTAAAGCTGCTATAATCAATATTTTCATATGAACAAGATATCAAATGACTGTGTGCAATGTAAAAGGGGTTGCTTCTTATGACTAGCTAACACCTGACTGTAGTACATGAATACTCATGCATCAGGTTTATCTGTAAATGCCCAAGTACATGTTTAAATTATAAGGGATAAAATGTTCACTTCACATACATTTGTAATATGTCTCAAGGCAATTTAAGACATTACTAACTGTTGATAGAATTCAGTAGTCTGGTATCACGTATCGTGTTTTCTGGCTGTGCCTTTCACAAATGTGTGGGTGGGTATACACTCACATGCTGCCCTCCTGCCCTGACCCAGGGTTCATGGCATGTTTATGTGAGGTTAATGTGCTGTGATAAGGCTGCTATTAGAAGCTGTTTGATGTGTGCATGTGGTCTGCCACAAACAAGGCAGCTGCTCTGCCAGCACATGTTGATCTTGCAGGAAACGAACAGGAAAGCTAAGGGATTCTTTAGATGTACAGGAAATGAGAGTTAATTGATTTGTTATATCAACAGGAAGAGAAAGCTAATTGACTTGTTAGTTTGTGCTTTGATTTAGGAGGGACTGTGTGCTAGAGGAGGTCATAGAGGTCTGATGTGCACGAGCAATGTTAAGACGGGAAACACAAGATTTATCGGTATAAGTGAGGTGTGAGGTATGAGGAGTAAGTGGTTTGATCCACAAAGTACTTATTAAGACTCAGTTTGATTTCTTGCATTACAACATTTAACACTGCTGAACAACACTGGGGATGCACGTTGTAATCCTGGATACATTTAGTGTTAATTCATTCCTTTCTTTTTCTTTCACTAAGAGAGGAGCAGTTGCAATGTAAAGCACTTTGCTGCATGCAATTCCTTTGCTGAAAGGGATTCTGGGAAATTAAAATCAATTGAGTTTGACGGTGAGAGCTGACGCAACACAAAGGTATATTACTTCACAAATAACATCTGGAATGCACAGGTCATCACAGACAGACCAATCATATTTAAGACAAACATCTGGATTTTCCCTCTATGAATTATTTAGGCCTGTGCCTCTGACACTTAGATTAATCAGGTAGCGTGTGTAATCTGTCTCTCTAACAAATTACACCCCTGGTGGTTTTTTTCGTTTATCCAATGAGTGAATGCACAGCGGAACATGTGGCACTTCTGTAACTTTCACTGTGTGATTGAGTGCTAGAAAGAAAATGTGCAGAGAAAATGCAGACTTCATAAATAAAGTCATGACTGTAGCCAATTCAGACTGCACAAAAACATTAAATTCATGCCATGTAAAAGAAAAAAACAGTATGTGACTCCATAAAGAGATGTTTCCTCTGCTCCATGTAACACAAAACTTTAAAAACAACAGACCTTGTAAGTCACTCAGTCATTCCATAAAAGAGCAAACAAACAAAGGTGCAGGTCACTCCTCTAATTGCCTCCCAATGAAAGCTTTTACTGACAGATGTTACAGCTCATTTACTATCAGAAACATTGCTATGAATTCAAGTCAGAATGAACACAAGAGCTAACTGCAGACAAGAGACATGCAACAAAAATCAGGACGCAGAACCAGCACACGAGGTCAAACCCTGATCAGTAGACAATTGACTCCAATCTGAATGATATTTAACTGTGTTCCAGGTGTAATTTAAGCTTACATGTTTATAACAGGTGAGTCGATTTCCAGGCCCAAACCCAACAGTTCAGTGAAAATGATAGACCTGAATTAGCTGGAGGATAGTATTTCACCCAGAATCATTGCATCAACATCACCTATGCATTACATGCACATGAAAACACGCTCACGCAAACAGTCTTTGGCAGATTTAACAAATCTCTCTTTCTTTTTATAGGATCTATTAATGCACTGGCTTGTGGGATATTTTCTCCCATTATCTCCTCATTCATCGCAATATAAAATAAGGACGCTTTTGACAGACATCTACTTCCTAAAACACAATCAAAAAAGAAAATGGGACTTATAAAAACACACCACACTGGACTGGAGGTGGGGTTGGGGACAAAACAAACCTGTAGGAATTGAAAGCAGATGTCCACGCAGACGTCTGTTTCCTGTAGAGCACAACACTAGCTCTTCAGAAATGAAGAAACGGTATTAAAAATCTTGGTAATTGTTAGGTCATTTTTTATAGCAAGAGGTATATCTAAAGTCCTTATCATGTCCTGTGTGCGAAATTGGAACAATTAATGAACAGAACTGCTGGAATGACTGATTTCCCATTAAAAAGAGACACTACAATAAGTATTTACTTCAATGCACACATTGCAGTATTCCTAAGAATAGCAATACTTCCTATGTTTCCGACTGCTTCCTGCCAGTGAACCAATCAATAATCCTGCAAGGACATTGATACTAATTTCACCAATAGTTACCAAACCAGTGAAATATTCATCCACCCAATTATACTTTTGTCCACCAGGTATACAACCAGTTTCTCTACATCTTGCTCCACAAGGTCAAATGACTTTCCCATTGTTAAAACAAGCCCAGCATGTTATTGTTTATCTGATGAAGCACTGGTCAATCCCTCACAGTCTTGCACAAATAAGCCTGTGTGTAGAGTAGGTCTCACTGTGGCTATTATTACTGCATAAGTTTAAGACTCATAGCTGTGTGTTGACTGAGACCCATGGTAATAAGTGCTCTGTTGACTGAGTCCTCTGTATATTTATAGAGTAAATCTCCTCTGGGCTATATATATATAATATGTTATCAATGCAGGTTAGAGCTTTGACCAATAGGAGCTCATAGTGTAAACAACGAGGATTAGAAAGCACTCTTTTCTAGGATTGTCATCAACATTTTAATACACTGGAGAACTAAAGGACAAATTATGTATATTTTGTCACTTCCCCCCTTTTCTTTCTTTATTCCTTTCTTTCTCACTCTGCTTTATCTCTCCTCCTGATTTCTTAATTCTTGGGTCAATTAAGACAATTATTGTATGTCTAAATAGACGATTGACAAACGCCTTAACTACTGCAGGTAATAATTATTTTCCTGATTTATAAATTAGCAATTACTTTTTCGATTAATCAGCAGTGTAAACCAAAGAATGTCCAGAAACAAACAAAAAAAAGAAACAAAGAAAACTAAAGCAAAAAATAAAAAGGTTCCCTAAAAAATTCCCAGAGACATCTTCAAATTGCTTCGTTTTTGTCCAGAAAACAAAAACAATAAATATTATTGGACTTAATATAAATGAGA